ACAGGTTGCTGCAGAACGTGGTCGAGGAGATGTGTGACAGTGAAGTCAGGCAAGGCATGCAACCAGCAACATCAGTAAACAGATGAACATATTAAAATATCATATTTGACTATATATTCATGACCATCACAACAATCGCCATAAATATGGCGGTGGGTATTACACATACATATTTGACCTTACATAGTAACGATGTATGTACATGGTGGCCAACCAAGTTGTCCTGTGCTCGTCATACCGCCTTCTACTTGAATTATCCTGTGAAAGCAAGATGTCACCCACGCCCACTCAGTGAAATCTGGGGCCATCAGTATCAGTTCGAGCGCAAAAGTTGACACCTACCACAGGTGCGAGGGTTCTTGTGTCACGCGATAGTCAGTAAAATAATGAACATTGGACACTCATTTCCTATGTGGGAGACGCTTGCCTAGGCTGACTGAGCTATCCATTACATGGATCACATCGAGTCCTGCGGCTAGTTCGGATTATGTTCTTCAATGTCCTGAATGCCATAACGGTCAGGATCTTGCCAGACTGCCGAATTGAACGAAATATTGTAGTGCCGCTCAGTCCTCTACTACGCACTACCAAAGTCCATTATCCTGCATAACAAACACAATCTTCACACTGTATCAAAAGGGTAGGTATTAGCAGATGAAAAACCATATCACCCGATAGGACATTCACTGACAAAAATATTTGATTAGAACATATGAGTGCCTCGTGTTATGCGGGAGCAACGACAAAGCCTATAACAGAAATGAGACACGACGAATATATTAGATGATTGGCCACTTCATTCTGACAATAGATGTAATGCGCCGTCCTGACATCGACACTGACTTCGTACAAGCCCGAAATCGATACATACTTCGTACAATACATTCAAGTCCAGCCTGTTTCAAAAACAGGACAGATCTGAAAACCAAAGCCCGAGATCGCGAAATTAGTGCCAGTTCTAAACACGACCGGAAAAATATTCTGCCAGAAAACCTGCCAGAATTCAAGACGAAGGTGCGCGGTTCTAGTATTGCCTTTGCAGAGCAAGTTGTTATATTCTTATCAGCCTCGGCAATCACAGATAATGGTAACAACAATTACTCCTCCTCCCTACCGGCACAATGGACATAAGAAACGAGGGGGGGCAGAACAGTTCACCGCTCGGAGATTGAAGAATGGGTTGGCGAAACTGCGGGGAGATCGTGAGGTGCGTTTAGTATTTAATTCAGTAAATGATTGACCTTTGTCCGGAATCTGCTCGGGGGTAATTTAATATACCAAGTGCGCCTCTCATCTTTGAGACTGGACGACTTCTTCCACATGAGGGGCATTCGGCTCGGCCAACTTTCCACGACAGATGCCGCCCGCAGACAAGATAGTATTGATTATAGCGCCCACAAATACAGCAGTTTACAATACAAAGTGTACCTGTTACTTGGTAGATTAGAAGGTGCAATAAAATTTACGTTAGATGGCATGCCGAGGAGTAGTCACTATTCACAATCATCTCTGAAATGAATCATTTCGATTGCCAATCTCAGTATTTAAGAGTGAATGCGACATAAGGATTACATTCAAGCAATTATTGAAACACGTATATACGACAAAACAAAAATCTAGCTACTCCGAGTCATAAGCGGCGTCCTCTAGCGCCTTTCTCTGCTCAGCTAGCGCTGTGACGGACATCTTGGACACGACTTCCGGAGTTAGGTCCTGGCGATGATTTTTGCCGAAAATCTTTCTGAACAGTATGTTAGATACATGATGCATAGCAAGCAATAAAACAGTCAATACCTCGTCCACCACTCCAAAAGCTTGGCTACCCTATGTTTTGCGACAGGGCCAGGGACGTCCTCGAAGAAGTCGACGATGTTATTCCAGAATCCCGCGTAATCGAAGTCGCCGTCGACGGTACGCCAAGACGAGACGCTAGACAGCGCGAAACGAACCTGTCAGACAAAGGTTATAAGCCGCGCATCGAGGGTGAGAAATCATCTTTGCTCACCTGACAGACAACATATGCAATTGAACGAGGGGTTACTTTCCTCGTGTTGATGATTGCGGCGACGCAAGTTTTGACTTTGACTTTATCGTTCGACGACCGTCGAGCGCGCCTATTGTTCTCTAGAATGTCAGCTCCGTCGCCATCTCCATCAGCGTCCCTTGCGGAAGACGGAGATGTGAAGATAGCTTTGAAGGCCTGGTAACGCCAAGACTTTGAATATATATTCGCGATGTAGTACAACCCCATCTACTGACCTGAACCAGAAGTTTGGACCTGAAAAGACCTTTCTCCAGGTTTCTATCATCGATGGCGTAATTCTCGTATACGAACAGCGGCCACGAATTTTCCGACACGATGTAGTCGGATGTTCTTTCGCGAATCCCGGCCTTCACGCTGCAAACATTTCAGAGTCATGTGATTCGACGAAGGGTGATACTTACCGGCCGTCACTCCAATCCCACTCGGCGGGGCAGAGCAACTTCCCGCAAATGTCATGCGCGAAGCCGCGCAACTGCTTGTCGTTGGACCTGAGTAGCGTGGACGGACGAAAATCCTGGTTGACCCAGGCAGCAACGAGGTCCTTCAGAGTGGAAGTGTCGTCGCCGCGGGCCGCATCGGCTCCTCTTTTGATCTATAGTGTGATGAGTATGCAGCGCGAAACGATGAAGAGCGCAAACCTTTTTTAACATGTCCTCAGATTCATCGACTTCAAAATCGGCAAGCTTGAGATGCAGCCACGGCAGAGACTGCGAGAGTGCGAGGTAGCCACGCTGCAGGCGATCTTGCCTGAATACTGTAATTAGCCATGTCACGGATTAAAAAAGATGCCTTACTCTGGGGTAGTGTCCTGCACCGCGCCGTTCACCAGGCCTGGCTCGCACCTGCGATCGTTTTCGGCGATCAAATCCTCCACGTTAGTGTAAAGGACGACCATGCGGCGAACTGCCCTGCCCTGAGCAACGTAGTACGTCGTCTTTCTTTCGAGGATCAATGAGGAAGAGTATACACAAAGATGGTACGTGACGAACCTTTGCTTCGTTCCTCTGTCCTGCCTCATCGTCTGCAGTTCTTCTTCCAACGCAGCAATACGGCGCTTGGCCCTTGAATCTGCGGAGGTAGGGACTGCCCCAGAGAGGTCCGGGAGCACGAGGTCGCGTGACTGATTGTCAGGCTCTGGCGCAGACATGGTGAAAGTGAGGAATGTCAAGGCAGAGGTGAAGCGCGAAAACTAAGAGACCGTGACAGACTCGGAATTGTACAGAAGGTAAAGGTAAGAAACCCTCACCTGAACTTTTTATACATGCTCGCCTATGGTATTGAGATATATAGAGTAATGCCTAATGAGGATATGGTGAGTCTCGTCTGAAAATGGCACCATAACATAACTTACCGTGACAGGGCTGTAATGAAAAGCAACCGTGACGACTCTATGTAGAGTCTGCGTCCTTGCCCTGATCACCGCATGCATCAGCTCATCCCTCGTTTCCGACTCCCAAAAGTATCACTACCTTGAAAAAGTTTACGATCTGCTGGTAGTTTTCCTCCTTAGACACGATGTGGTCACCATCCGCGTTTTCAGCACCGGCGCGTTCGTACAATTTCAAAAGCTATTCTGAACGTCAATTACTTGCCATCTAGGTCAAATATCACTCACATGTTCAATTGTGACTGCAGTGAACAGTCCAATCCTTACGGTCCGTTTCACTTTTGGATCAGACCACAGCCCAACCCAGCACATTTCGAGGACCTTGCGGACGACCAGATACGAATCTTGAGAAAGCGCTTTGAAGATAGACAGCAATATATAGTATCTCTGTTGCTCGAGGAAAGTCGATTTCACCAGCGAGGAAGTTTTAGAGTTAATGAAGGAGAGAATAAAAAAGACGTATTAAGTGTGGATATCTGGTTGACGAAATTCAGACAGTTCAAGGCAGCAGATATCTCAGAGACATACCAGGTCTTGCAAACGTCCTCTGCGTCTCCTTTCCCTTTCCTCCTCATGCGATAATTTTACGAAAGTCTGAAGTATCGTGAACGATGATGAGCCATCGTAAGGAGGCGAACGCACCTTCATGTCCCATGGAAACGCTTCACAAAGTGCCTTCCGCTCCCTCCCACCTCCAAAGTGAGAGATAGTATTGAACAGTTTCAATGAAACGAGAATGACTTGAAGCTCATTGGAGCCAAATGCGAAAGATGTGATTTTACGCATCTATTTTGGCGATAACAACGTTTTGATAATCAGAATGCCGTGTGAGTGGTATTATGGGAAATGAGAGGACAGTAGAGTAAAATCCGAGAATAACAGAGACACAAGGAGCGATAGACTGGACGACTAGCACATCACAACATCAGGACACTGAGAGAAAGAAATAAGGATACACGCACTTGATTCGTACCCTCCCATATCTCAAAGGTGTCATGAGCACCTGGCGAACTCTCCATCCACTCAAGCGCGATTCTCTCATCTTGAGGAGCAATAATTTCCTCTGACTTGACAGACAGAGTTGAGCGCAATGCAGATAGGGCTGCGGGACTGAGCGAACAAATTCTTCGTAATGATGAATCTGATGATCGTAAGTATGCGCACCTTCCATTTGGGGATTCTGGTCTTGATTCTGGACTCCCGGGCCGAGCACGTCTGACATCGATTGCATTCAAAAATTTATACGCCTTCCGCGACGTTTGCTCAGGTTTTGCGTGTTTCTGGGGGCGCTCCGACTTGCTTTGAGGCATATGATGCTCGCTGGGTTTGAGTTAATCACTCGAGTCCATAAGTATAACTTGACCTAGCCATCTTAGACGCGCCAATCAATCGTGAATTTTGCTTAAATCATGTGATCATCATCATCGAGATGTCTGTCCTACATGACTGAGTGTCTGATTCTTCGCCGTCCTTCTAACCCTCGAGGACGATGACGGCAACGACCCCCTCGTAGCTCCAACATGCCCTATCCGCCTTTGCTTCACTACTGGTCGTGACCCCGGACCAAGCTCAAAGTCGCGCCACAATCTCCTCTCTCGCGCTCGACAATATGGGACCCACTGCCCCTCTCCAATCAATACCAATTTCTTGACGAAGCCTTCGGACAGCTAACTCCGTTGAACCCAAACAACTGGCTACCAAGCGATCGGAGAAGCCAAGCTGCTTCGCTTGGAGGATAATTCTGTTGCTGACAGAAGAGATAGATTGATCTCTGCGGTTGTAGCGCATTCGTTAGAAAACCTCGAAGATCAAGCAGAGTCTACGCACGACAAGCGCTTCTCCATGCGATGAATGTGTTGAAGTTTCGTTAGGTACCACTTGTCGATGTTAGTCATCTGCCAGATCTTGTCGACGCTATCGCCCCGATGGAATACATTTGCGATGGCGAATATCCGCTTGTCAGTGGGATTGACCAGTTCCTCGTCGATGTCCTCCACAAAGTTGTTCTTATGCAATTATGCAACAAGAAAATTAATCTTACTGAATTGACCAAGACTGCTCTTACATACCTTCGCAAATCCAAGGAACTGATCGTCAATCGCCTGTATCGCCTTTTGGATGGTCTCTTCGAAAGTTCTGCCCATTCTCATGACCTCACCGACGCTCTTCATGCTGCTGCTAAGAAGCCGGCTGACCCGGTTGAACTTATTGAGGTCCTAACGTGGTATCTTCACGACAACGTAGTCTAAGCTTGGCTCGAAGCAAGCGCTGGTTACTTTCGTCACGGAGTTCTTGATTTCGTTTAACGGGACACCCAGACCGAGCTTAGCAGCAATAAACGCAAGGGGATAACCTGTAGCTTTCGAAGCCAGTGCTGACGAATGCGAGAGACGCGCGTTGACCTATTTAAATGTCAGTGCAATGAATATCAATTAAGATGATGAAACATACCTCAATAATGCAGTACTCCTTCTAATCGGATTCAGAGCGTACTGAATGTTACACTCGCCAACAACACCAAGATGGCGAATGACATTGATCGCAGTTGTTCGGAGCATGTTGTAATCGAAGTCGGATAGCGTTTGGGAGGGAGCGACCACAATGGAGTCTCCATTGTGGATACCAAGTGGATCAACATTCTAGCAGGGCACCATGAGATCATGCGTACGCCGTTCAGCGAAATCGACACTTACCTCCATATTACAGACAGTTATACAATTGTCGCGGGAATCGCGGACAACCTCGTATTCGATCTCTTTCCAACCTTTCATGCTCTTTTCTACGAGCACTTGAGGGCTAGTCGCGAATGCCTTGCTACAAAGAGCGCGAAGCTGGACTTCATCCTGTGCGAAGCCAGATCTCAGACCACCCAGCGCGTATGCAGCACGAACAATGACAGGGAATCTGATCTCACGCCCTGCGGCAACCGCTTCATCTGGAGTGGTGGCTGTAGCAGACTGAGCACAACGCTTCCCAATATCCTCCATCGCTTGGGCAAATGACTGCCTATCCTCTGTCGTGATGATAGTCTCGATGGGAGTACCAAGAACCTGTACTCCAAGAGCCTCAAACTCATCTTTGAGTTTGATGCCGACATCAAGGGCGGATACCATCCGGTTTCCTCGTATTTGATAATTTTGCGCACGAAATCGGGTGTCACTACAGGACACGACCGTTTGGATGAAGACGAGGTTGGGATGTGGGTTTTAAAAGTCGGGGAGCTGAAAATGATACTGCAGCGACGATATTATCAGAGTTGGGATCGTGACACGGGATATCGATGTAATCTTCGGAGAATGGTGGCGAGGATGAGAAGGAGACCGAGCGTAGCTCGGGAATGAGAGACTGCAAAACCATGACTAATCCCACAACTCCATGAGACTCGACCATTACTTGAGTCGATACTATTACCAAAGACTTTTCCGTGTGGTGTGGTTGGTTTGGTCACGGTTGCCACTATGATCTAAAACGCGCACAACTGGCCTGCCCTTAGAAATGATTCAAAGTAATTTAAAGGACTTACAACATCAAAGAACACCACGGGGCAGTCCTGCGCGTTTTAGTCGCAACTAAAAGAGTAGAACAGAGTGAAGTTAGGATATATACATAGACCCCGGAAGTATAGCGTACTCAACACTCGGCTCGGCCCCGCTTTCAACATTTATATACACTCGCACGATCAGGCGCTTAAGTTTATAAATTATTTCCGACATCGTTTCCAGGAAAGGAAATGACCCTGAGCGTGCTTGCTCGCTTGCACTCTAAGTTATCCATCGATATCTATGCCAGCAATATTAATCGATTCGTTGGGCAAGAAAGACTCTGACCATCCAATGCGCGTGAACACATACCGGGTCATGAAATTGTCTACTATATATTAGACCCATCAAACGAACACATTGCAAGCCTTGATCCTTGACGAAAAACCAGGTCCCCCTACACATCAAGCATGTACCAGTATAGTCAGGGCGTAAAGACATCGTAGCCACTAATTAATACAAACGGATGGAATCTTGTGATACTACAGTACGAAAATGAATGTCCGTGACTCGCTCGAGTCAAAATCAAAAATGCGTGAAGTGATACGTTCAGTCAGATATCTCCCACTAGGCCGCCTTCGGGATTTTAAACCTAGAAGAGGGAAGGTCGGACGTGCTCGCACGCTTACGTTTGGAGCCTTGAGCGTCCGCCATCTCTTCCTCAACCGAGTCATCTGTCTGTTCCGAAGGGGCGTAAGAACTCTCACTATCCGACTCGCCGAAAAGCTTCACGTGCCACTCGCAATAACGGTCGTAGGCGGTGATTTCGGCGGCTGTCAGGATTCGTCTCGAGGCACGGCTCCAGTCAAAGAAAGATTGGATAGGAGTTTCCGCGAGAACGGTGAAGTCGAGGTCGGGCGCGAGCTTCTGCTGTAAAGTTACAATAGAGTCTTTAATCTTCGTCAACCCTTTGTCAAGCATGTTGGTGACGGAGTCCATAACTGTGGGCACCAATGTCTGGATCAAATCCGTCAAATTGATTCAAAAGGTTGAGAAGGATGTAAACTTACGCCGTACGCCGTATGCGCAGGATCTTTGGAACGAACGTTGATCGGCGCATCATCTCCCTTCACCCAGACGAAGTATTCCACCGATGTGACATGGCACCATGTATGGTCGCCGATTACGACGGGCTCACTGAATGAACGTGGGTGGTGCGTAGATTGAGGAAATCTTCTTGAGTGAGGAGGCGCGGGTCACTGCTAGTGCCGCCACGTAGGACCGTTGATGCGATGGAATCGTCATCGGGAGCGGCGTAGTCTGTATCCTCCCGTACTAAAACAACAACCGCGCACTTAATGTCTGGACGCGCCAAAACAACTTTTTCAACTTTTCCAAATACATGCTCATCTTTCTCCGAGAGAGCGCATTCAGCAAGGAAGGGAACCAGAACGACTTTTGCTGGTAGATCCATTGCAGTGATTGAGACGATCACAAGCTGTGATCGATGCGCCCTTGACTTTTAGCGGCCAATTCATGTTGGTTGTCGTAAAAATGATGTCGCGATCATACGGAAGGGCGTCGATACTTTTGATGATGGCATCCTTCACCACGTCGAACGATGCTTCGTGGAGAACGGTGGGCATGTCGACGATGAGTATATGGGTGTTGCGTTCGTAAGTCAGCCTGGACAGATTTAGTATTGCCCGAAAGCGTTAGCTACAAATAGCTTGCCTGGGCTTGGTCGAAAATCGGGAAGTTGCGCTCAAAATCTCTTCGATTGATCCGAATTCCCGCGCTCCCACACCGCGGAATTCCTGTGATATTGAGTAAGCACACGAACACAGGATCGAACATGAGGACATACCATGCGATTCTTGTGTAAAGCTGGATTGGATACATAACTCAATACTTTCCGTATCATATCTTCAACTCAGTCAGAATATTGTTAATTAACCACTTAATTCTCGTTGACATACTGGTAGATGGATCATAATGAATGGGCCGCTGGCAGACATCATGCAATGGACTGGAATCTGTGGAGGCATGAGCTGTAACTGGTGTGCTTTCTGGTGTCTCCTCTTTCCCAACGGATGATTTGGTAACACCTCTTTTTTCAGTGCTATCTTTTGAGGATGCTGGCTTGTCAACTTTGATGAGGTTTGTCTTGTGGTTGGCAGAAGTTGTCTGTGGAGCAGAGTTGGTTCTGGTTTCATAGAGTTTGTAGGGGTGTTTGGGAATGAAAGAGCTGTGGTAAGTTTTTTTTTCATGCTGAGCCACTAGGGTAGGCATGGTTGTTAGGTGCTGGGTGGTGACTATTGACTTCGTGTGGCGAGCTCTGACAAGCTTGGAGTATAGAGAAGTCGTGGAAAGAGATGATCAAGATTACAAATGATAACGATCATCGCCAGGAACGGCAGCACGTGCACACTCACCAATATTTTCACTGATCTGAATATGTATGATCACTGACTAGTACTGACTGTTTAAAAAAGCTCAAAGCATACAGTAAAGCCTTATGAAGCATGCATGCCTTTGACCAGCTTTTAAGAGGCCTTGCATGGCATGAGCAACAGGCTCATTCACATATCACCATACGGTCACGTGATGAAGAGTGACTTGCTGTGTTATTAATAT